TCCAAGTGCACAAAAAAAATTTGTCTAAGGGATAATTTATTCTTGAGATAATGGAATAAAAGATGCCATATTCCTGGTTTATCACTTGGTCCTTGGGCAGCCCTTAAGAGATGAGAAGCACTTGGCGAGCTAATGACATCCGCAATGGCAGTGACTAAGCTTCCTCTCGGATGCCCGGCGTCAGGGCAGGTCACGGGAGCCGACCAGCTCATTCTCTGAGCCTATATTTTACACCATTTGGGGAGAGGGTTAAGTGTTCTTTGCCAAAGTTCAACAGCCTGCCCCATCAACCTGTGTCATCAGAAGGAGATTTCAGAAATTGGAAGCGTGACGATTACATACAGTTACTGGTATTAGCAAATGCTTCTTAAAGAGTCAGAGGTTTCGATTTTCCTCACAACAGGCTGAACTGATGATCATGTAACTTAAAATTCACTGGACACAAAATATGCTGAAAAGAGAGGCCTAATGCTGTGCTCAGAATTTTAAGCCTGAGGTGCCAGGGTGCTGCGTCAGAGGGTGCCTGCTGGTCTTCCTGCTGTGCTGGGGGCGTTTCCTCCTGGCTGGAGCGCAGGCAGGATGGAGGGGGGCAGACCTCTTCAGGTCCTTGGTTGGTGGAGAACCTCAGTTGTGTGTTTGGGAATTCTCTGTGGTCAGATGAAACGTGGTACAAAAATATTCAACAAAAGTTGCAAGGGCCCAGCTGGTGTGGCTCATGAGTGGTGACCCATGAACCAAAAGGTCTCGGGTGTGATTCCCAGTCGGACACATGACTGTTTTGGGCTCAATCTCCAATAGGGGGCATGCTGGTGGAAGCCAATTAATGCTCCTATCTCATCAGTGTTTCTATCTCTCTATCCCTCTCCCGTCCTCATTCTCTCTCCAAAACAAAACAAAAAAAGTCAAAGGGGCCCTGGCCATGTGGCTCAGTTGGTTGGAGCATTGATCTGTGCACCAAAAGATTGCAGGTTCTCTTCCGGGTCAGGGAACATACCTAGGTTGTGGGTTCAATCCCTGGTCAGGGCACAAATAGAAGGCAACAAATCCATGTTTCTCTCTCTCTCCCTCCTCCCTTTCTCTCTCGCTCTAAAAATCTAAAAATAAACACATATCCTCAGGTGAGGTTTAACATAAAAAAAAAATTGGAGGAAAATTTTCTTCTATCTTTTTGTAGAAACAACATTTACTCTTTTGTTACTTTCTGTATTTTGAACTATGTGAATGCATTATTAAAAGCTAAAATTGAAATTAAAGAGAGCAACTTAGGTCTTATGAATTTGATTTTATGTAATACTGGAGGCCTGGTGCACGAAATTTGTGCACGGGGGGGGGGGGGGGGGGTCTCTCAGCCCAGCCTGCGCCCTCTCGCAGTCCAGGAGCTCTTCCGGGATGTTGAATATCCTTAGCGCTGCTGCAGAGGCATGAGAGGCTCCCACCACCGCCACTGTGCTTGCCAGTCATGAGCCAGGCTTCTGGCACTGACCAGCAGGGGGCAGCTCCTGCATTGAGCATCTGCTCCCTGGTGGTCAGTGCACACCCTACTGACCAGCTGGTCCACGGATCAGTCGATTTGCATATTAGCCTTTTACTATATAGGATACTCAAAGAGAAAAGTAATGATGTCCAATATGAACTGTGAAAGAATAGAAAATATTTTTAGAGCCTTTCATAGGAGAAATCCCCTGTATACTTTGTTCACTGGGAAGGAAGTCAGCCAGGGTAATTGTAGCTTCAAAGGGGAATGTCTTTTGGAGGTTTATCTCAAGTATCTTCTTTTTCTCCCTCTTCCCTTTCCTCCTCCCCTCCCTTCCTCACTCTCTTAGCCTTGTTCTTCTCTCCTTCTCCCCACACTTCCTTCTTTTTTTCTTTCTCATCTGGATGGAATTTGCAGCATAGAGCACAATGAGACACAGTCATCAAAACAACACACTTTTGAGTTAAATTTTTTCTTTATTAATAAAGTAAATCACTAGCAACTCAATTCTGAAAAACTAAATATGGGTCTTTATGTATCAGATTTTTAGAAATATAACATTAAATATAACATCTTTTCAAAGAATTCTACTTTGGTTCTAGGACTCCAAACATATTTAAACTTTTTAAAAAAACGTATTTAAACTTAATGCATTTCAGAAAAACAGGGGAACCATTCCCTAAGGTGTGTGGAGAGATGGGACGGGTGGCTGAAGCAGGGATGGACGGCGAGTGTGTTCGCTCAGGTTCAGATTTGCAAAGTTCAGTGAGGACAGAGCTGCTCAGGGCTGTGGCTGCAGTGCTTACCAGTCTTGCCCTTTTATTTTATTATTATTTTAAAATATATTTTATTGATTTTGTACAGAGAGGAAGGGAGAGAGATAGAGAGCTAGAAACATCGATGAGAGAGAGTCATCGATCAGCCACCTCTTGCACACCCCCTTCTGGGGATATGCCCGCAACCAAGGCACATGCCCTTGACCGGAATTGAACCCAGGTCTCTTCAGTCCCCAAGCCGACGCTCTATTCATTGAGCCAAACCGGTTTCGGCCGGTCTTGCCCTTTTATTTGTCCTCATAAATGACAGTCTTTCTCCCAATATTAGGCTATCTTCTTCTGATAATAGTAAAAACAATCCTGGTAATAGAAGGAACTACTTACCAAGTTCCTTTTCTGGGCCGGCTCAGTGGGGCCACCCTGGAGGAGGGGCGTCACCCCAGCCACATCCAAGAGGCACAGATACCTTCATTTTCCAGGGGATCACAGCTGGTTTCGGGTAAGTGACTCTTCCTGTTCAGCAGAGCAGCCTGGATCTGAATTCCATCTCTAGGGTATCATCTCGGGCTCCTCCCCACCCTCCAGGACGCTGCATCCCTTTCCAGGACAGAATCACCTCCCTGGAGCCCCACTGTGACTGTCTGCTCACCCGCTCCATGGTCCTCATAGCTTGTCAATAGGTAAGAACCAAGACTCTCTTGTCTGCACTCCTTTCAGTGGCCAAAGCATGAGAATCCTCCCCACCAGAGGACATGCATGTCACTGTCCCTCCTTCTGCTTTACACTATCCCACACCCCTGTCTTTGTTCCAGTTTTTCTTTCCATATAGTGGTGACTCCTGTCTGTTTGGGAGGAGCTCGAATATAGACATGTACAATATGAGTAGCCTTTTCTAAGGCAAGTGAATTGTTTGGCTCAAAGGGTCATCTGAGGGTTCTGCTGCCCTGACACTCCCTTTCAGATCCTCTGTGTTGAAATCTGACCATTGGCCAAGGCTCAGCCAGACTACCCTCATCATGATGCCCATCTCAGTGTCTGCCCTCTGTTCACCCCCAACCACCCCCCTCCCCCCGCCAAGTGGGCTTCACTCATAGTGCACACAGCACCTTGCCTTGTCCTGCGGTATTTGTGGGTATAAACGCCCCTTCCAGATTGCAATAATGGGTCAGGGCGCTCTGCCCCCTCTTAGGTTGCTCAGGAATGCCTTGCATTGGTTCAGACTAGACAAAAACAGAGCCACTGCTGACTGCAGAGGAGGGCCACAGCAGTCCCTCTTATTAAATATTACAGGCCCAGTGCATGAGATTCACGCAAATGGAGGGTTCCTCAGCCTAACCTGCACCCTCTCGCAGTCTGGGAGCGCTCAGGGGATGTCTGACTGATGGCTTAGGCCTGACCGCTGTGCTAGCCAGCCATGAGCTGGCTCAGGGTTTCTGGCTGAGCAGCTTTCCCCCTGTGGGAGTACACTGACCACCAGGGGGCAGCTCCTGTGATAAGCACCTGTGCCCTGGTGGTCTGTGTGCATCATAGCAATTGATTGATTTGCATGTTTGCCTTTTATTATATAGGATGGTGTCTAATAGCAAACTTGAGGCCAACCAATCAGGAGATTACCATTGAAAAGATAATTTGTTCGTCATCATTCCCAGAGATGGAACAGGCCTTGCCATGGGTGCCATAGGGGAAGCACCAGAGTTGGTCAGAAGTGGGGGGTGTGGGCAAGAGCCTTTATTGTGGTTTCCACAGCAGGAACAGGCGAGGCATAATAGACAGGTTAGGGTTAGGGTTAGGGTTAGGTAATCAGAATAACTTCAGCGGGCTCTGGGGCAGAAGGGTTTTCTGGTACCAGGTCCTGGGGTAGCTAGTGTCCTGGGGCAGGAGCACCCAGTGAAGGAGGGGCTGGGGTGTGGACTCCGGGTTGGTTTGCAATTGAAAAGCATGCTGGGCTGGCAAGTTGTTTATCTCTAGGAATGGTAACCCTGGTGGTGGTGTGAGGAAGTGGTGGTGAGGGTAGAGAGAGGGCAGAGTCTCTCCAGAGTCATCAGAGCCCCAGATGTCAAAGCCTCAGAATTCAGAAAATCTAGAGAGTACAGTCCTAGACTGTCAGAACAGCTCTCATGTTACAGATGCTAAGGCTGAGCTGACCGCAACCTCTATCGGCCTGTGGCTTCCTGGACCAGGCCCTGGAGCTGGATCAGTTGGGTTTGGAGAGAATGTCAGACAGAAGACTCGCATGGGATAAACATGTCTGGCGCTCAGCCCCTCCAGCGTCCTTCTGGGGAGCCCTGTGCTGGGAAGCACCAGTGGGCTCCTGGGAAGGGGCTTTTATCATGGAGCCGGTGTCCTCCCTCAATATGCACATCTGCCATGTTTCGGGGACAGTCTTTGCAGGTGGCTGGGCTTCAGGAGGATGGGGCATTGTCCAGGAGGCAGAGAGTCGGAAGCCCTGGTGGCAGCGTGCATGCTGCAGACCCCTTTCAGGCAGGAGACAAACCTTGCAGCCACAGGTATACCCTGGGCACTCCCTGATACAAATACTATGCGATTCACGGTGTTCATCCACACCAGCCACCTGAGAGGCAGTAAGGGCTCCTACTGCATTCCCGGGTGGGCCTGACGCTCAGGCAGGTCTGTGCACCGGCCAGAGGGAGGTCCCCCCAGGTCCGCAGGTCCCCACCCAGGGCGCTCTCCTCCCTGCCCAACCACCACGGAAGCAAAGAGGAGCCCAAGAACAAGTCCAAATGCTCTGGTTTTCAGCGCAAAACACCCTCTGGCTCCAAAAGAAGGTAGCTTTGCAGGGTCACCGGCAAGGGTAACAGAGGCACGAGGCGGAAGCACTGCTTGCCAAACCGTCTGCGGATGGCACAGCGGCAGAGGTGCAGCAGGCTGCGGGGGCTGCCAGCCAAGGCGAAGAGAGACTGGTAGAAAGGCCGGTGTGCCTGGAAGGGAAGGCGGCATGTCAGTGTGAGCCAAAGGGGACACACAGGAGCCAGACCTGTGGACTCAGGTGCTGGACCCCCACCCTGGCCTGGACACCAGGTCCCTGAGCCCTGCCCTCCTTCTAGCCAGCGTGGGGCTGCTCCGGCTCCTGGTGGCGAGTGCACCCTGACTATAGCAGGAGCTCCTGGCTGTGAATACTGAGCGCCCTAAGGGAAGCAGCAGCACTCAGGTCTCTTCCTTCTCCAGTCTCCAGAGACTTTATACCCATCTGGAGACGAGTGCGGAACTCCTGACACGGCACAGAACCAGACGGCAGTTCTGCATGGCACGCGAGGCAGGCGGCTCGCTCACCTGAAACACCTCCTCAGGAATGGCCTCCCTCCAGGACTCTGACACGCGGAGCTGAGCGTAGGCGTTGAAAAGCACCTCGATGACCGCAGGGGCTGGCGCGCAGGCCTGCAGCACCTGTGGGAAGTGGGGAGACCGCGTTCAGGTTGACTGGGCTTGGGGTCCAAGTGCGGAAAGGGCAGGGAGATGGAGGTGTGTTCGCACCTCACTACCTACTGTCTGTGTGACCCCGCTATCCAGTCCCTCCGGGAACACACAGTAACGGCACAACTGGGCAGCGAGTTCACAGGTAAGCACAAGGCAGCGCTGGACAAAGGGTCTGTCCAGCCATCATGCAAATCTGGGCAAAGCGTTCAGCATCCGTTCAGGAGCATGCATGGTGGGGGGGGGAGGTTGTGGGGCAAGTTGGATGCACAGAGGGCTCTAGAGAGCTGCTCAGGGAACAGCATGAGGTTCTGCTGGGAGCGAGCTTGGCCTGAGGACAGTAATCCCAACTTCTCACCTCAACTTTCTACTATGTCAGGACACTGGCGAAGAGAATTGCTTTGCTGTGGAGTTTCCCCTTGACTTGGCCCTTCCCTTTTATTTTCGAAGTCCCCACTGTCAAAGGACTCCTCCTTTATTATTTGCAAATTCAAAATTCATCAGCTTTATCATGAAGGTGGGAACACTTTGCTTTTAAAACATAAACTTTTTTTGGGTTGTTGTTACGAAGAAATTTGAATGGACCCAAAACTGGATCCAATAGGATGATAAACCCCCAAGCACCCACCATCATCCCATGGCAAATCCTGCCCCATCCACCCTCAGCCCTTCTCCCTCATCTTATCTTAAAGCAGATTCCAGGCATTCTGCCATTTCACCTGCACATATTTCACTGTGCCTCCTAAAGGACCCTTTAGAAGAAATATCTGCACAGTATCACTATAGCACCTGAGAAATTAACAAGACTGGCTTTCTTAGTATCAGATAGTCAGTGTTTAAGTTCACACTTCTCTCTTCAGTACCATTATCTTAAAATATAATCTGTTTGTTCGAATAAGAATCTAAACAAAAGTGAGGTTAGTTGATACATAGTTTTAGAACTCCCTGTTTCTTTGTTGAAGGAACTGGGTTATCTGTCCCAGAGTCTCCCACTGTTGGGGCTCCGCAGGTGTGTCCCTGTGGGTGCTGGAACGCACTGCTCCTCCACTGCTCTCTGTGTATAGTTGGACTTGGAAGCTCCATCAAATTCAGAGTTGATCTTGGGGAGGGGAGAGAAACCTCATAGTTCTCTGCTTTTGAGGCTTGAGATTTACCAAGTGTAATACATCTATTCCGTGTATTTTTTCAGATTGAGAAAAATGGAGTTCAAGCAATTTTTCCAAGATAAGGCAGCAAATACCTCCATCAGACAATAGAGCCAGCAGCTACGCCTGGCTGCACCATGCTCCCTGGGCTCCCTGCACACAGAGTCCAACAGGAAAAGGTGCAGTAGTTAAGCCTCTCAGGATGGCCGCTCCCTTATAGCCTGACAAGGTTCCTTCACATCTAAAACTCCTTTAAAATACAGAGAAACAAAATAAAAAGTTTGTATGTCTTTTGTTCAGAGATAAAACCTATATTGTGTATACTCGGGTTTTATGTTAGACAAAACATTAGTATATGTAACAAAAATGGGCTAATGCTTTGCATATTATTTTGAAACTTGATTTTTGTCTATGCAAAATTGTGAACAAAAATGATAAATGAGCATGTTAGTGGCCATAAATATTTTATGAATAGGTCATCATGAATTCAGTGAAATTAACTACCATAATTTGAAATGATAAACAATGAACATTCTTGAACATAATTCTATCTCTTGCTGTTCCAAACCATTCTTAGGTAATAATTCTACCCCCTTCCTACAATGAATTCTTGGAAGGAGAAGTGCTTACAGTGTATCTTCCCTTAGAATATAAGCTCCATGAGGGCAGGGGTACTGCTTTCTCATTATCCACTCCTACCGCCTGTCACTCAATAAATACGGTATTTGCTGAATAAATAAATTAAATAAATAGAAGTATGCTTTTTATTTTTAAAAAAGTGCATTAGGAAGCCTTATCTTATGTCTTGATATCTACAAGTGTCTTTCTTTCACCATCAAAAGGAAAGCCATCCTGGCTGAGGTCAGAATCCTCGCGTCCAAACTTTTCTTTTAAAAATCTGTAGAGGACATTTCATTGTCTTAGGACAATACTGCAGCACAGCAATCTGGGTCCAGCCTGGTTTTCATTCCTTTATGGATAGCTTTGTCATGAACACTGGGGCTGACTTCCCAACGCCCCCAAATGATTGGATTAATCCAGTCGTGGTAATTCCATCCTTTTTGACTATTAAGGGTCTGGGCAACGGCATATCCTGCCCCCCCCCCCCCCCCCATGTGCTCTTGCGTGTTGACACTTCTGGCTAACACAGCTGCCACTACCAGGCCAGATCCTCAGACACCCACTGTCTTCTGTGTTGGGAGTGATAGATCCTCCTTTCCTCCAATTGATGGGCGACTAAACTCCACCTGCAGCCAGACATTCCTGAGCACTGAATCACCAATCAGCACCTGCCAAATATCCTATGCTCCCGATTCCTAAGTCCCTAGGTCCCTAATCATAGGCCTTATATGAAACCACCAATCAGCGTGTGCTGAATACCCTACGCCCCATCCCCTCTCCTCCCCTTAAATAGTGCATGAACCCCGGCCCTCGCTCTCTTCCCCTCTCTCTCTGGAAGCAGCCGGCAGTGGTGCTCTTCTCTTCAATAAAGCCTGTGTCCTGGCATCCCGGTCTCCCTCTCTATTTCATCTATCAGGGAGAACCCCGCCATTAAGATGAGGGTATGCACTGGACCCCCAGATCTAGCCGAGTTACATACAGATAGAGCTCCAGGCAGGCCATGCCTGCTTCCTCGGGGCCTTCCTCAGGCTCCCCTGGCGTCCAAAGACCCTCGACTGGCCCACTTACTTCTTCCTGCGAACCAATTGGTGCACCCACCCCAGGGGCTGCCTGCAGTACTGGGACCCTGCGCGCCCCGCCCCCTCCAGAGCGGCCCTCCCTCCCCGCAGCGCCCCTCCTCCGGCCCCTCCGGGGGTCACAGACTGTGACAAAGCCTTATTGCCTGTCTCCGGGAATTCATTTCCTGTCTCTCCTCGGTTCCACCTCTCTGGGGCTGGGCCCCCCCGCCCCCGCCCCCGCCCCCGCCCTCGGCGCGGCGCCCCGCGTGTGCCAGGCAGCTGGCTGCCTTCATTATTTTTCCGCCGGACGCCACCGGTTAACCGCCTCCGCGCCGCCCGCCCGCGGAGGGGGCCGCACATCCCTCCGACTCGCTCATGTCATTAGGGTCCGCGCGCCCTCTCCGGCTAATGAGGCGGCGGAAAGAAAATTAAGGGGGAAAAAATCACACAGGCACATTGCTCTAGATGCAGACGGAGACATAAAATGAGCAAGAAACACAGAGGCACGCCGTTGATGTTTGCTCCTCCCTTCTCCCCCCTCCCCGGGGGACAGGGTGCGGGCAGTGGAGGCAGGAGACGGAGTCCTGGGTTTTGACTACTGCTCCCCCTGGGTGTGCCCCCTGCAAATACGAGTCCTGGGAACAGTGTGAGGTCACTTCACCCAATGCTGTAATGGTGTAAAAAGGAAACATGAAAACTTATCTGGATTTTCCACATGGGCAATGCCCAGGAGGTGAGAGGCAAGACCAGAGCTTCGCAGATGTTTCTAGAATCTGTCATTCTCACCCACATCCTCCATTGCCCCCCTCTCTGCAGTCCCCGCCTGGATGGCCCCCAGTCTGTGGCTTTCACCAGCCCTTACCCCAGAGAGAGCTCATTTGATTATGTCACCTCTCCGTTAGCATGGCATTGATTCCCATTGTTCTCCAGGCAACGGCTCAAACCCTTAACCAGGCCCTGCCTAACACCCGCCTCAGGTGGCAGCCCTCCTGCTGTTTCCCCCCAGCCCCTGGGTCCTCTCTGCCGCACATGTGGCAGCACTCCCTCTGCCCCAGGTCACCTGCCTGGACTGCTTCTTTCTGCCTGGAATGGCCTTTCCTCCTCTCCTCACATAGGAAGGCTCCAGCCTCCAGGTCTGGGCTCACTCAGCACGTGCTGGGGGAGCCTGTGGAGCGCCCCCACCCCCCAAGCTAGGTCAAGCCCCCTAGTTGGCACTTTCAAGGCGAGGAGGGTCTTTGCTCTGTACCTGTTCTCACCACAGCAACATCACACGGGGGGCGGCGTGTGGTTGTCTTACCTTCCTGAGGGACAGTGCCATGAGGGCCGGCTCCACACCCTTACACCAGCTCTGGGCTTAGCAATGCCTTATAGCACATGTGTCAAACACAAGGCCCGCGGGCCAAATCAGACCCACCAGGCCTTGCAATGTGGCCCGCACCGCGCGGTCATCACTGCACTCCGCTGCGTTTCCATCACAATAACAGTTTATGACTGTTCAGTAAACCATTCGGCCCGCGATTTAGGCTGGATTTTAGATTTTGGCCCCTTCTCTGATTGAGTTCGACACCCCTACCTTATAGGGATGGGTGTTGAATGCCTAAATGCTCCAGGGGTGCCCTGGGAAACACAGCCTCTGTGGCTTGGGGGAAACAGTGCACCGCTGGTGTTGTCCCTGCGCGCGCAGCCCCCCTCCCCCCCCCACACACTCGTGGGCAAGCATGAATGTGAATATTTACAGCCTCTAGTGTGCGCATTTCCGCTGGGCACTGCTGGCCTCTGCCCTGTAGGTAACAAGGCACAAAATAGCACAAAATGAGGAACAGGGGTGAGGGACCAGAGTGCGTTAAGCATGAGAGCTGACTGCACTGAAAAGTGCTCTGAGGAGGGGCTCCCTTTATGTATCGAGGGACAGATGGCCCATGGAGGAGGCAGGAAAGAGTGGTCCCAGGCCATGGGTTTCTGTCCTGGTGCTGCTACCTCCCAGCTCTGGGACTTGGGGAGGCCCTGTCCCACCCCAGAGCGGAGCACCAGCATTCTGTTCTGGGGTCCAGCCCGAGATCTGCTCTTCAAACACTTGGGATGAGGAAAGTAGAACTTCGTTGTGAAAAGATGACACGGGGCTTCGTTACTGTCTCATGAATCCGGCCTCCAGGTGAGAGGCAGGAGAGAGAACCGTGAGCAAAGCCCCTTATTCCAGAGCAAGCATCCAACCCACAGGCTCAGTTAGCGCAGGGGCAAAGCAAGTTTGGACGCACGTTTGTGTGCGTGTTTCTCTGCCCTCCTGTCTGCTCTCCCCCAGGCCAGCCCCGCCTGTGCGGACCACTTCCAGAATTCAAACCTGGCCACCGCCTGCCACCTGCCCTTGTGCCCCGATCCCTGACTGGTGTTAACTAGAGGTCAGCCAGGAGAAAGGCCTGGCATTGTCAACATGCTCGCTTCCCAAGCGGCGACACCACTTTGATTCTCACCGCGGAGCACTGTCCTCGGCGCGATGGATGCTCGGTCCGCCCGCTGCGGCCACGGCGCCTTTGTCTGGGCATGAGGGAATGCGATTTATGTCACGAGCTCGCTGTGAAACCTTTTGCCTCAGTAATTCTGAGCTCCGTGGGTGTCTCTTTACATCTATTTCAAGCCCAGCTGCTGCCCACAGACCGCGTGCTCTGTGACATTGCCGGCGCCGCTGTGTACCCCTCGCCACGGTGTGGCGTCCCGCCCGCGGTGTATCTTTGTGGCCTGGTTCAGTGTGTTTGCAGCGCGCTCCACAGGGCTGCTGAGCAGAGCTGGTCTGTCCGTTTGATGTCTGGTGTGGTGATTAGACTCCTTCCCGGGAGGATACATGCAGGTGGCCTGGGTGGAGGAAGATGCTGCAGCCAGATTCCCAGTGCGTGCCCTGGTTGTCCTGGGCCCACGCTAGAACATCACAGGCACCTGTAACATGCATTTGGGCGGCACCCTGCTCCCAGCTCCTCACTAAAGGTGAGGTCGATCTCAGCACAAAGAACTTAGATCCCCATTTCCAGTTCCAAGGACTTAATAGCAAGTGGCGTGCCCCAAGTTGCTGGAATCCCCTTCATTCACTCAACATTGAGGTGTGCAGTGGTCAGCTCTGTGCGTGTGCAAGGAGAGCAATGCTTTTTGGTGAAAGCCTCAAAGTATTCATATTTTTCAAGGAAACTCTAATTCCTTCTACAATTGCTGGGAGAATCAGTCTCATTTCTAGGAGCTGAACACTTCTCATGGCCTTTTGACCCTCACTATAGGACTCCTCCCTCCCCAAACCTAAACCCAACTTGTACCTCCACTGACCAATCTCTGTTCCTGTGTGGCTGACCCAGGATAGGGCTCCTGGAGACCCAGAGGGAGAGACACTGTCCTTGCCCTGCATGTCAAGGTCAAGGCTGAGTAATTCCCACAGCCCTGGAGCCAGAGTTCAGGTGTTAGAGGTCTTATCTCCAGGGAAGGTGCCCATGGGGCTGCACCTGAGACTTGGAAACCCAGGTAAAGAATCACTCAAATAGAATGACTGCAAGGCCAACAAAGGGTTATTTGTAGTCACTGCTGAATATACTGATTTTTTTCTTTTCTTTAAAATCATGTGCCTCAGCCCTAGCCAGTTTGGCTCAGTGGATAAAGCATCAGCCTGTGGATCAAAGGGTCCTGGTTCCCATTCCGGTCAAGGGTACATGCTTTGGTTGCAGGCTCCTCCCTGGCCAGGGCCCTGCTCTGGGCTCATGCAGAAAGCAAATGATCAGTGTTTCTCTCTGTCTTTCCCTCTCTCTTCTCCTCTCCCTAAAAATCAATGGCAAAATATCCTCGGGTGATGATTAACAACAACAAAAATGATTTGCCTCAGCTATTTTTTTACTGGTGGCCCATCACATAAAGCCTGTTTCTTCTTCATTCTTTATACAATTTCCTATGATGACAGTTGACTGTGTGCATCTTGGTTTAAGGCAAACACCGTGCGCCCTGGAGGGGCAGTGGGTGGGTCTTGTTTCCATGTCAGGGGTTGATGGCTGGGACGTGTTAACATGCAAATTAGGAATATAAAGCTGCTGGCATTTCCTCCCTTTCAAGAGCCCACTAACCTGGAGCCTCTGTGTCAGTGGAGTGCCACCTGAGAACTGCTCAAAGACGATGTGAGGGTTAGTACAAGACACTGGTCATAATGTTTGTCAAGAAAACGCTTAGGGAGCTGTTTGGAGGGATTTCCCACTTTTCACCCGTGATTTTACAGACATACTTGACCCTGCATGCATCTATGGTGCAAAGTTAGCGTTTGAGAGAAATGTGTGAATCCCACTATTTCAGACCATCTGGAACTCTGTTCTTTTTGGATGACAACAGCCTTTCGCCCATTCAAAACTTGTCAGGCATGTCTCTTGCCTCTGATTGGTGAGCGTGAGGAAGAGGGAACCTTTCAAATTTAAGCACACCCACTTTTACATCTAATGGAATGACTTCCCTTCAGTGAAGTCTTTTGGGAAAGACAATCTCTTACTCCAACCAATATTTTGGGAACTTTTCTTTTGGGACCATTTCCCATCTTTTGGGTATTTTCTCTGGTGAGAACTCTCTATTCTTCCTCTTGATTATTTCAAGCTAGATCTGACACATGGGGGAGGTGACAAACTGCCCAGAGGCAAGCCTGCAAAGCGGGGGCGAGGTCTCCACAGCCCTGACTGGGTAAGTCCCCTCACCTGGCTGAAACCCAGGGAGAGGGAGAAACACCTGCTTGGTATCTCACAGGAATGCGTGAGGACAATAATGAGGGAATCTGCAAACGTGTAACTTATCTCATTAACAAGGTTGGGGATTTCATTTCAGATCAAATGCCAGATGCCCTAAGAAATCGATTTTCATTCGTCTGCCAAAATAACTCAGGGCATGACTGCGTCATGGAAATAAGTGTGTGGAGTCCCCAGGTGACTGCTTTGAAAGGACACACGCAGGCATGCTTGTCCACAACCCAACCTCTTTCTTTCCTTGTGCCCGGAAGCTTCCGGGCCCTGGCTCCTCAAAATGTGGCCCCAAGACCAGCAGCCTGGGCCTCACCTGGGAACTTAGGAACGGAGACTCTCCCACCCAAACCTACAGAGTCAGAATCTGCCGCCTCCCAAGTCCTCAGGGGGGTTCTGGGTCCCTGGAAGTTTGAGAAGCGCTGCATGCAAGGCTTGGGGTAATAGGAGGTGCCCGGCCACTCTTACCTTGGGGAAGGCGTCAGGCCACAGGGTGGGGGCGCCGTGGTTGAGCAGCGCCTGCACGGTGCGCTGGGGCTTGGCCTGGGGCGCGAGGGAGGCTGCCTGCAGCACGCGGGCCAGGGGAGAGGCGCCTCCGTAGTCCAGCGCGGCGGCGTCGGCGCCATGCTGCAGCAGGAGCAGCGCCAGGCCGGGGCGCGCGTGGCCGCAGGCCTTGTGCAAGGGGCTGCGCTCGTCCTCGTCGCGCGCGTCCGCCGCCGCCCCGCGCCGCAGCAGAAGCGCGCACACGCGCAGGCCGCGCTCCTGCTCCTCGGGCCCCCGGGCCTCCGCGCCGCACGCCGTGCTCAGCGCCGTCTCGCCGCGGCCGTTCCTCGCGTCCACGCGCGCCCCGCGGCCCAGGTAGAGGCGCGCGTGCTCGTCCAGGCCGCGCTGCGCCGCCACGTGCAGCGGCGTGTCCAAGCTCGCGCCGCCCACGCGATGGACGGAGGCGCCGTGCTCCAGCAGCGCCTGTGCGCACCTGCGGGGAGGCCGAGAGGGGTCACCGGGTGGGCAGGGCCGGACACCCGACCCCCACATCTTGCCACGGATCCGCCACTCCTTGGCTGCTGTTTAGGGGGCTCCGGACACCCCGGGGGGACAGTGGGCGCTGGGAAGAGGAAGGATAGCCCCAGAGAAAGGACATAACTTCAGATCTGTGCTCAGGCTGCAGGAGTATAAACTGAGCTAGGGAAACAAACAAACAAAACAACCCCCCCAAAACAAAACAAACAAAACAAAACAAAACAAAACAAAACAAAACAAAAAACGTGTCTGGCGTGGCTCAGCGGTTGAGCCTGGGCTTAGGAACCAGGAGATCACAGTTCTATTCCAGGTTGGGGCACATGCCCGGATTGTGGGCTCATTCCCAATAGGGGGCGTGCAAGAGGCAGCCGGTCAATGATTCTCATCATTGATGTTTGTATCTCTTTCTCTCTGAAATCAAATAAATGTATATAAAAAAGAGATATGGCAAAACACAGAGAACACAGGCCCACCGGTTACCGAATAGTGGACCTGGCTGGAGACTTCCCGAGTCCATAGGCAGAGTGTAAGACTTGGGAGTAATTCCTAACTGCTTGCTGCTACTTTGGGAGGCGATGTGGTTCAGATGACAGTGCTGAGGTCCTACTTACCTGGGCTCTTTGTCACACGTGGCAGCTGAGGAGCGTCCCTTAGACTGTCAGGTTCTTTCTCAGAACCTCTTCTGAAACCTCTCAGCTTTGGTGACAAGTGGACAGGGTGAGCCTTGCTCCCAATCGGAGGACTCCTTCCAGACCTCCAGCGCTGACAAAGACCGGCATGGGGGTGTCCCCAGGGCTGGATGCATAGTGAACACATAGCCGTGCCTAACTGTGGGATGGCCTTTGTTTCAACCAGTCTCTGCTGAATAGGCTAGATTTTAGCTGTACCCGATTCCCCATTGGCCTCCTGGGCATATAGCTTGGGAGACATGGGTCTCCCCCAAAGGTGGGCCTCCAGGTCCACCAACTGGAACCCAAGACTGCCCCCTCCTCCAGGCACTGAGGCCTCTCCAGGACAGCAGCTTCCTCAGGGCCATCCACACCTGGGAGAACTCTAAACCCCTCAACCTAAGCTGAGGTGCAGGCTGCTAGGCCTCCTGCCCAGACTCTGGTGGGAAACAGTCCTCCCCAGCCAGAATGTGGGAGGACAGTCACACAGCCCCTCTTCTGTCCTGCTGGCCCTTGTCCTTTGTGGGCACCCCCAAAACACCTGCCCCACTTCAGTGACCTGCTCCCCCAGAGGGTCAGCTCCTGGGCATCGCCATCAATGTGTTTGCTTCCCCTCTGGAGGCTGACACTCAGCATGCCGCCTGCAGACCACAGCCTCTGGTCCCTGTTGTCACCCACGCCTGGTGGTGCCCTTCTCATCTCTGCTCTATTGAGACTCGAGTCTTTGACCTCTCATTCTCTCAGCCCTTCCTGCCTTCGTGCCTTCCCTGGGCAGCACTCCAGACACTGTCTTCTTGGCATCTGAGGTTCCCTCGTACAGGGGACATGGCCATCCCCATGGCAGACAGCCAAATCCAGCCTGGAGCCCATGTGTCATCCACCCTCTCATCCCCTTTGGCTGCTGAGTGCTGCCGGGAAAACACCATCGTGAACCGGCCTCCGGTTTCAGATGGGCCTCGGGGGCCTTCGGTTCACATTGTCCAGTGCCGACGGCCAGCTCCTCATCCTGCCCACAATAGCACTGCAGCCGTCACCGCCACATTTCCGGTGCTGTGGCTCCTCTCCCTCGTGACCTCCTGCAGCGATTGCTCTCACCTTCTCCACGCTCCTGGGAGGGGAGTTCTTCCTGGTCACCTTGCCCAGGTGCAGTCCTCTTCTGCTTTCTGGGGGTCTCGTCCTTTGCCTTTTTTTTTTTCTGTCCTACCCTCCCCCTCCCCCCGACTTTCAGTTGGCCTGGAGCCACTGTAGGACAGTCATGGTCAGAAGCCTGTTGACTTCATCACCTATAATCGCTGTTTCTTCCTTCCTCTCCATGGTCACTGTTTGTGGACACCCAAATCATTTCTTGCCTGAGTGGTAATGACAGTCTCCTAATTTGTCCTCTGCCCCAATCTCACAAGCTCCATACAAGCTAGGAAGATCCTTTCCTGTGGGAATCAGATGACATGTGCCTGCTGGAGAGAGCCTGGTCCCTGTCCCCAGGATACGGGATGCCGAGAGACCAGCTCCTGTGGGCCTCTGCCTCTTGGGCTCCTGTCACCTAGTGTCACCAGCAGAAGGTCACAACTCTGCGTGGTCATATGCCCTGTACTCAAGTGCCTGGGCGCAGCGCCTATGGTACCATGTTTCAAATGTTCTTAGATCATTAGCTCCTTGAGTATATCAGTGGGGGGCTATTTACCTCCGCTTCTCAGTGCTCAGGGCAGGCAGCCTGCTCTCGGTTTTCCCGAAAAGCTCGAACAAATGCATTTCCTTAATGAGAAGCCAGTTACTGCTGGTTTTCCTGTTACTCGCCTCCCTGAGCTCTGAACAAGATCGTCCGTGGAGGGCTTCCAGGCTGCAAGCGGCTGCCGTTAAATCTGCTTATATTTCCACCCAGGGACGCTCAGTGGTCTTCAGTCTCTCTCTGCGTATCTTTAGCTTCCATATCAGCAGTATCTTGAGAAGTGGTCTGTGTTGGGTGGGAGATCTTTATAAACAAGTACAATTTGATGTGAAATGTCCTTTGGGACAATAACCCGCTAAGAGAGAATGCAAATTTCAGTATCAGGGTACTTCAGACTGGCTTCCTCCTTGCCTCTATGGGAGGCATTTCAAACCGTGCAGCAGGCGATTACAAATCAAGGGTTCCGTCTCATTCTCACCACCGAGCCCGTGCGCGCTCGGAAACAATTACAAAACATTTGCTTCTGCCCTTTTAAATTTTTTTTATTTTTAAAGCGGCCCCGCCTCTCCAGAGACACCCATAGGGAAATATAAGTGGTCCTCTCTTCCACAGCCACAGCCTGTCTGGCGGACGGACCAGCTTGCAGTGTGCAACAGGGATACCTTTCAGAAGAGCAAGGACAGTGGCCCACCCCTTGGTGGGCTGCGGATGTCTGTTCCATTTTTAATGAAGAGCTCCTAATTGGCGAAACCTTGGCACTTTCTTCCAGCAGTTAATGATGTGAGTTGCAGGCCACAGGCACGAGGAAAAAACAACACAACCAATTGACTGGGGCACACCTCTGCTGGCACACACTGGGCAGTCATTAAAGGCGAAGGTGTGGGAGCCTGCTTAATGACACGGAAAGCTATTTGCAATAGTTATGTGAGAAGATCAGGCTACACAACAGCACTGAGCGGTCCTATTAAAAACCACACCAGATATGCATACGCACAGAAAGCAAGCCCAGAAATATACAGGCCGGCGTGTGTTTACCTCTGGCGGGTGGGTGCTTTGTTATTGCCTTTTTGCCTGCCTGTATTTTCAAATTTTTCACAAAGGAATCAGAGTTACAGTTTGAAAGAGGCACGACAGAGGTTATTAATAATAAAACGGTCCCCCACCGGCCACAGCAACAGCGTATGGATTCCGAGAATGTTAGCTTAGCTTTCCAGGGAACCGGAATGCTCTCAAATTTTCCATTGATCTGCCCAGGCACAAGCAGCGATTTTGGAAAGGATGTACGGCAGTGCCCATGAGGAGGCGAGCCTAGAGGAGAGGGGAGGGGTGGGGGGAGGTACTCGGTGATAAGCAGGGAGACAATAGCATCTCAGAACTCCTGGATCTGACCTTGTATGTGTCAGTGTCTGCAGTGGGAGAAGTGGCCCAGCGGGGAAACACCACCCAGGCCCAGCTGTGCCCGAGCCCTGTCCTCCTAGGGGAGATTTTGTTAGATTTCCTGCTACCCTGATGGACAGGCAAGCCAGGGCGGCCTGGAGCCACTGTAGGACAGTCACAGTCAGAAGCCAAGGGTAGATTCCCATCGGAGGACGTCAGAACAATTCCTCATTCTCATCTTTGACCATGACCGAGGTGACAGGCTATTTTAGGGACACGAGGTTGACAGTGGCTTGAGCCAAAGGCAGGAGTTAATAGGGATGAGCCCATCAAGGGCTGTTAAATTAATGTCATTTTAACTTATTTCTGATGGGGGAAGTAGGACTCTGAGCTCACACCCCACACACGGCTCCCATCCACCTTCCAGCATCTTCCTGAAGCACCAGCTTCCCTGTCACCCACCAGGTGCGGAAGGTTCATGTGAATGCCCTGACCTGGGCTTTTCTACTGTTCCCCTTGTCCCCGACCCTTCCCCACCGCCTTCCCCACTCCCTGCATCCCATGAGAAAGCCTCTCCTTCAACTGTCCTCCCTTCATCCATCACTCTATTCACACAAAGCCCTCAAAAGTGGCATTCCTCAGACGCTGGTCCTGAGCTGGGAGCTCACTGCGTCTCTGCTACTTGATCTTGTTATTTTTTAAATTTTTAATGTTATCTTTAGTTCTTGCAACAAATCTGCATTGTAGGTAGAATCTATAGGTGGGGAAATTGAGAAAGGGACTTACATGAGGTCAAATAGCTAGGACATGGTAAAGCAGAGGTCTGGATGGCTTTGTTTGCCACCTGCTGCCTCTTTCCACCGATATTATTGGTGAAGCATCTTCTCTGAGCCAGTCACTGTGGTAGGCATTTTCCATGTCATCTCTAAACATCTATTCATTCATTCATTCATTCATTCATTCATTCGAGAACATCATCTGTGCTCCATACAACAACAGCCTTTCAAGGCAGGGAGAAGTGTTTCTTCTCTGAGTCGTCCACAAATTTCTGGACAGACGCGCTGACAGGACAGTGAAGACCCTGGACCTGGTGCCGTGGGGCAGGCAACAGTCACCACTTCTTGCCCAGTCCTGCTAGCAACCCTGCCCGACAGATCTCATTCTCCCCAGTTTTCAGGGAGGATTCAGTTTTTGAGGTTTGATCAGTGACCTTAAGGCTAGGGAGATGATCGTGACCCTGCAACC